GGGCGCGCTGCTGCCGCTGCGTGCGGACAGTGCGGCCACGGCCGGCCCTTGCCGGCCGTCCGGCAATAACTTCCGAACAAACTGACTTCAATTAGCATGACATGAACATAGGAACATAAATATACTGAAAACATGAAAATTCACATAAAGGACTGAACTTGGCCACGGCGGACGCACCGTGCGCCGCCGACGGCGTTAAGCCGTTTCACGACCCATATACATATTCTCTCGGCAATGTAAATTTACTGGGCTTAACCATGACTTTACTGAACATGAAAATACATAATGGTCGAAGGTTTGAACTTAACATGCAATAACATGCGAGCGGCCCGCGGTGCGCACTAAGTGTGCGACCACAACCCTTCGGCCAAAGCACTACCAACATGACTAATTATCCGAACATATAAGCTATTCTAAACATGATATTGCAAATAAAGGCTAAACATGCAAGGATAGTTCGGAGAATATAACTTATAACATGGCATGGTCGGCACGACTACGGCTTAACACGCATAACACGCATGCATGCCAAATTAAAATCTAATCTTAATAAACATGCTACTCTCGGTCAACAACCATCGGGAGTTACCTCTTATTAATCTCCGGAGGCTAAACTTCTCGAACTCCCGTGCTTGGCCGTGACTCTCCGCGTGCGTGCGTGCGTTGTCGTGTGCGTGTCCTCGGACCACCGTGCGGATGGCTTGCGGTACGTCGGGCTGCTTGCTGCCTATGCGCGAGAGCTCGGACAAGCGATGGCTGGCGGCTTGCACGCTGGCACTCGGCGGTAGCTCACGAACAACACTCCAACTCACACAATATGCTCTCTAATCTCTCGGCATTATGAACTTTGGGCGTGCAAGAAGATAGAAAATGTCTTCAAGTCCATTCTTATATGATGGCCGAAGGGGAGACAAGTGAGGGAGAATCACATGGTCAAAGCATAGGACACATAACACTCATGCAACTTAAAGCTTAAGACACATGGCCACCATGCACTCCTCTTCTTACCTCATGGAGTCACGTGAATTGCTACAAAATGGAGAAGGCTTGAGGGCAAATCTCACTCACATGAGCACGGCATTTAAGGGCTAAGTGGAAGGATTTCTTGGAACAAATGTACACATCACTTATTCACACGGCACATAGGACAAGGTGGTAGGAAATTTGGCACAAAACACTAACATGCTACACAAAAAAATTGCACGGCATCTTAGGCTAGGTGGAAGGAGTCTTGACTACAATCCAAACACTCACGCATCACACGGCCCTTGCACATGAATTGGTACTCTCCAATGCTAAAGACAATGCACACGGCAATTAGCATGCTAATGGTGATTAATTACCATTAATCATAAATTAAGGCTTAATCAAATAATTAAGCATAACACTTAATTACCAAAATTATTTCGAACGTAAACGGTACGTCGAAAATATTTTCCGGTAATTTCGACTGAAATAACTGAAAATAATTAATTCCGAAAAATAATATCGGAACTAAAAATATAATTTATACTGATAAATAGTCGGGATATTACAAAAACGACCCGAAAGTACATTCGATGAGGTGTTAGGAAGGTGCGCCAAATACATGAATGTCAAGGAAGCTGAAGCCGACTTTTTGCAAGCAGCTAAAGCAAAAACTGAGTCTCGGGACGAGAAGAAGGATAAAAGACCAATCTCGACGACCGAAAGGAAAGGATCCCCGAAGTCGGAGAGAGAGGGACGATCAAGGGGATGGAGGGCAACCCAATATACTCCCTTGTTAGCTTCGAATGCAAGGATATTGGAGGTAATGGAGAAAGAGATCCGCGTAAATGTTGTCAGGTGGCCACGGACGAGAGATGATGGTCCGACAAAACCTAAAAGTGATCTGTATTGTCGATTCCACAAAGACTACGGACACAACACCGATGAATGTTGGCACCTAAAGAATGAGATCGAGAGACTAATCAAAGCAGGCCATCTGAAGGAATTCATTTATAAAGATCGGGAGCGAACCAGTCGACGAAGGGAGAGAAGCAAAAGCCCTCACAAGAGAGCGAGGACACCCGACAAGGAGGAGCTCCCTCAGAAAAGAGGAATAATTCATATGATATTCGGAGGGCCGACTGATGGAGATTCGAATCGGGCCAGAAAGGCCTATGCTCGAGGACACCATGGGAAAATTGAAGTGCAACAAGTCGAAGAAAACGGTCCAGTGATGAATTTTAGGCCAGCAGACATGGGAGAAGTCAAGAGACCTCACAACGATGCCCCAATGATCACAGCTCAGATATCAGGCTATGAAGTGCAGCGGATCTTTGTCGACACGGGAAGCTCGGTAAACGTGATCTTTTACAATTGCCTTAGACGGATGGACTCGACATCGAGCTTGCACCCTTGTACACCTCACTTTTTGGATTTAATGGCTCGGAAGTCGCACCCCTAGGAGAAACCACGCTCGTTGTCGTCCTCGGGGAAGGTGACTTGAGGAAGGTAAAAATGGTTCGATTTGTCGTAGTCGACGTCGAGTCGGCCTATAATGTGATTTTGGGAAGGCCAGCGCTCAATACGTTCCAAGCAGTAGTGTCGACCTACCATATGAAGCTAAAGTTCCCCGTGGGAGACAAAGTAGGGGAGGCCCGAGGAGACCAGAGATTGTCGAGAACCTGTTACCAGATAGGAGTAAGAACAAACCAACGAACAGAGGTGAAAGAAGGGAAAAAGCCGATGTCAAATGAAAAGAGGCAAAGGGAGAGTGACCTCGAGTCGCACAGAGAATTAATGGAAATTCAAATCGGGGAAAAAGAGGAGTAGACCACTAAAGTAGGGAGAGAGTTGGAAGATGAGTTGCGTCGACAGTTGGTGGGACTATTGAAAGAATTCAGGGACATATTTGCTTTTTCCCCTGAAGATTTAACAGGAATCGACCCAGATGTCATGGAGCATAAGCTTAATGTTGA